TACTCGGATGTCGGAATTTTTGAGTACCAAGGAGAAAGCAAACACACCATTGGCTGCTAGCATTGGAAGCTAACGTATAAAGCAATGTTATCTTAAACAGTTTATTTACCTGCTGGAGTATTAAGATGATGATACTTCATTTAGAATGTTGTCAATATCAGCATCACCCAGTCACCCATCGCATTTAGTGAAGTGAAGCCAAACTTTAGAGCGTTTTCTTTCCACCGTGCAGCTTGATCTGTTTACATCTTGCCCGCAGCAGCTGACAACACAACGCTCTAGCGCATGTGCTGCTGTCTATCTTGGGAAATCAGGTACCGAAAGCGAGTGTGTAAGTGGCAAAAGGTACCGTTTCATATCACATGAATCTGTCCTTGGTCAGTAACAGAATTTGGTAGATGGCTTAAAAAGTACCGAATATGGTACCCATCCCTAAGCTGTGTGCCAGTTCTCATAGACTCAACACCAGATTTCACATCTCTTAACGTGGTGCGATCTGACGCGAGAGGTGCTGGTGTAGCTGCTATTTTTAAAGACTCATTCCTTTCCAAACAGATACTATTTTGAGTATCTCTCTTTTGAATGAAAGGTACACCAAAGATCTTATTGTTAGTAAGATACACACCTCAAGGGCCGTGCATTGGCTTTTTCACTAAGCTTCTCTTTGTTATCAAAACAGGCTTCAACCATCTTCTCATGACTGGCGACGTTAACATCCACGTTGATGATGCAAACGATGAAGCTGCAGTAGAAATCCTTGGAGTGTTTGAACTATTTGACACTGTCCATTGATGTTCCAACACACACTCAAGGTCACACACTAGACGTATTTAAGCCAAAGATGTTGACGTATCAGACATTAAGGATGTTGGCCTCTCTGACCATTTTTGTGTTTTTTCTGAGGTATCAGTTTTGCCGGTTACCCTCCGTAACTCCGTTGTTCTCAAAAACGGTGTTTAAGTGATAACACTGCATCAGTTTTTAGTGGACAAATGTCAAAATGTCTAACAACCAACTGTATTGGGTCTCGTCTGAATCACTTCAACGGTAAAACTCTAGAGGTCGTCGACGCCATTGCTCTAGAAAAGCTAAAAGTGATCTCTGGCAAACAAAAATTCCACGGAGATTCACTAAATCGCCAAAGACAGAACACTGCAAAGCTGCGCGTAAATGGAGGAAAAGTCACCTTCCTGATCACGGTCAGTCCTACAGACAGCGGCTGCGTACTCACAACTTTCAATTAAATAAGGCCAGACGAGGGAGGTGTCCATAGGGGGGGGGACCGTGGGAGGCGATTCTGGTCTTCGGGTATTCCTGATTCAGATTTGTTTATATATAAATATCAGAACTCTTTTTTCTTTTTTGATTAAAGTTATGATCCCAGAAGTAAAAAACACGTTATATATTATTTCTGGTGTGTGTGTGTGTGTGTGTGTGTGAGAGACTAATTTCCTTTAACAGTGTGAGATAGAGATATCCTAGACCAAAGGGGGCTGAACTGCTGCTTGTAAAGAAGGTCATAGGCCAGCAGTCCATGAACAGACCCACATTTCTTAATTACATGCACACACACGCACACACGCACACACACGCACACACACTCGCAGCTTCCTGCCTCATGATGACCCATGGTTCATTATCACTTTCAGCGTTGTGGAGGACACATTTAGGAAAACGCAGCTCAACTTCAATGAATCTGGGAATTTGTACTAAAGGCTCTACCACTCAGCTCTGTGTCCACACTGACATGTTTGGAGGCGGGTTTTTTTACTTTCATTTGTGTGTGTGTGTTGTGTGTGTTTTGTAAAAGGCTGCATGCTGGTGCAGTGGTTAGCACTGTTGCCTCGCAGCACGAAGGTTGCAGGTTCAAAACTAGGCTGCAGCCTTTCTGCGTGGAGTTGCGTGTTCTCCCCATGCCTGCATGGGTTTCCTCCGGGTACTCCGGTGTCCCCCACGGTTCACAACATGCCCTGTAGGTTATAAACTGTAAGTAGCTTTGGATAAAAGCGTCTGCCAAATAAATAAACATAAACATAGACATAAAAGGCATGGGACAGAAAACTGCTGGCATCTGTTTAATGAGATATCTTTGTATCTGTTAAACTCACATCTGTTTCTAACAGGACAGTTGCATAAAGGTAGGCTCAAACATCTGGAGTGTGCATGTCCAGGTTAACATCGATAAGTGACGCACAGAATGTGAGATAATATGGACAAAACTCTGTGTGTGTGTGTGTGTGTGTGTGTGTGTGTGTGTGTGTGTGTGTGTGTGTGTGTGTGTGTGTGTGTGCGTGCAAAGGTTAAGGGAGTGTGTCGATTGTGGAAGAGACAAAGAGGTAACAATGAAAGGAAATGATGAGTCTGTCCCTCACATGCTCTGCTGTTTTTTTCTTCCTTCCATGATTGTATGTGTGTGTGTGTGTGTGTGTGTGTGTGTGTGTGTGTGTGTGTGTATGTGTTGGTACGGGTGAACTATGAGGACATTTTACCTGAATACACACCACGCTAAAGGAACATTTTGGATTGTGAGGACAGGGTCGATGTCCTCACAATTCTCGAGCTAAAAAAATGATTGGAATGGGTTTAGGGTGTTACCATCAGCTCAAATATGCAAAAAAAAAAAGGTGTCCCCATAATTCACTTTAACTTGACTTTTGTGTGTGTCGTAAGTATCGTCTAGCGCTCGCAGTGGTCATTATGGGTACTGCACCAGCTCATTAATATTCACACATTGTGTATCGTTAGAGGCTTTTGATTGGCTGACAGGTTAGGTCCCCAGAGTGATGAGTTTTTTCAGACTACGTGACATCAGAAAAACAGATTGACTGTCACTTTTTAAGATGTAAATCTTTTTTAATTGATTAACCCTTCACTTAAAGTGTAACATATTTCTAACTTGTTATTTGAAATTCCATTTTGCAAATAGAATGATGATGAATATTAATCCAGTCTCTAAAAGACCTGTATGAAAATGATCGGTGCCCTCATCTGACTGGAAATCCCCAACATAGATTTAAAACTTTAATGACTTCTAAATACAAGGTCAAAACAAAACCTAACTGACTTCATGTGATCATTTGTTGAAATCACTTTAGCTGAACCTCCTTAGAGAGTGATCTGATAAACCACATACATTATATTTGTCACCCTAAGAAAAGCTGAGTGGGATTATACTGGATTTTATAACAGTGCCTCCTAGATACATTAAAACTGTGATAACTTCTATAAACAATGTTAAAATTCAACCAAACTTGCTTTGTGTCATCACACAACAGCAGTTAAAACATTCACATGTTCATTTCTGTCGCAATTTTAGCACCTCCCCACTTAAATATGCTTTGCTCCAAATAACATACACAAAATTATTTTAATTAGAAACAAACTGCTAATAAATCTACTTTGTCAATTTAAATAAAATAAAGATCAATTCGATTTTAACTGGATAAATTGCATTTCTTACAGAGATACTGTTTGAATGCTGATTACAGCATGTTTTGGTTAAGGCACTGGGAAGCTGCAAGAAGAAAAATGTTAAGTGTCTGTGGACCCTAACTTCAAAGATATCAAGAACAAAAATCCTAGCCTGTCACATTTTGCGGGTGGAGATGGTGGACCATGTGTGGTGGTGGGTTCCGGAGGCAGAAGAGCAGGCACAGATAACGTAAAAACGAATTTAATTACTGAAAGGGAACAGCAGGAACAAACACAAAGGTGACAACAAACGACAACAATGATCTGACACAGGACATACGAGACGGGAGGTATAAATACACTGGGGAAAATCAGGAACACCTGGGCATGTTAACAAGGGCAGGTGAAACCAATAAACAAGTAATCAGGGCAGGAGAGGAACACAGTCAGGAAGGCAGGGGCAGATCGTGACATAGCCGGCTTTTTCCTGAATGAACTGAATGCTTTGAAACCCATTAGCATAAATTGTGGGAGGAACTACAGCACAAAACATATGGGTGAGTCTTGAATTATTATCATTATCATTATTATTATTATTATTATTATTATTATTATTATAAACAGTGCCTCTTTTAATTTCCCTGATGCAATTTCAGATTATCACCTAATTTTATGTGCTTTGTGGATGACTAAGGAGCTTTGAAAGAAAAGCATCTGGACTTCTGTTGCTTGAAGACGTTTCACCTCTCATCCGAGAGGCTTTGTCAGTTCTAAGGTCAAATGGTGGAGAGTCCCAGATTCAAACCCAGTGGGAGTTTCACCCCGAAAAGGGAACAAAAGACCCCCTGATGATCTTCTACAAAAACACATGAGCCAAGGTGAGAGGGTGGGTGTGGGTCCTATTTAGCCAGAGTTTCAGGTGAGCTCATTGTGAAGCCTGGCCCCACCCTATCATGTGAATTCCTGAGATCAGATGGCCCAGGATATGCGTGGGCGTTGAGGCATCTGGAAAGGGATCTCAAAACTGGATTATAGATGGCAGACAGTTGGTGTTGTAAACCACCGCCTCTGTTCAAAGATGGTTGCTCACAGTGGACATAAATGGCTTCCTTTACCCCTGTTTCAAACCATCTGTCCTCTCTGTCCAAAATGTGAACGTTGACATCCTCAAAAGAGTGACCTTTGTCCTTTAGATGCAAATGAACTGCTGAGTCCTGTCCCGTGGAGGTGGCTCTTCTATGTTGTGCCATGCGCTTGTGAAGTGGCTGTTTGGTTTCTCCGATGTAGAGGTCTGGGCATTCCTTGCTGCACTGTACAGCATACACCACATTGTTCAGTTTGTGTTTAGGAGTTTTGTCTTTCGGGTGAACCAGTTTCTGTCTGAGTGTGTTGCTGGGTCTGACGTACACTGGTATGTTGTGTTTGGAGAAAACCCTCCTGAGTTTCTCTGATACACCGGCTACATAGGGGATGACAAGGTTGTTGCGTCTGTCTTTCTTATCCTCCCTCGCTGGTGTCTGGTCTTCTTTTCTGTGAATCTTTGCTGACTTTATAAACGCCCAATTAGGATAGCCACATGTTTTAAGTGATTTTTTTTATATGTGTGTGTTCCTTCTTTTTCCCTTCCGGCTTAGAGGGAACATGTTCTGCCCGGTGGATGACTGTTCAACAGACATGATGAATTGATAATAATTGATAATGTTCCCCCTGGAACTGATTGGTGGACTCAGAGATCTTGAGATGAGGTTGGAGTGGTGTTTACGTGGTGGTAAACCGGGCCACTGGTCGTGACAATAGGCCACAGTGGCATGAGCTGTGAGGGCCAAACCACACTATTTGCAGGAGACGAAACTCACATCACAGAAACAGTGTCATGCCCTAGGTCAGTAACAAGATGGTGCCTGTGCTTGGCTTAGCCGCGATCACCTGCCACTTTTTCAAACTTTTCTCCACTAACCTCCTCTTTTCCACCTTGCTCCTGTCTGCGATCCACTTCCGTAGTGTCCCTGCTACCTTCTCCTATGATCGCCAGACTCTTTCGTCCATCTGTTTGTTCCCAATCGCCCAAGATGCACCGAAGATTTACCTCCCTGTTTGTTTACGTGAGCGGCGAGCTGGCCCGGAGCCAAATGATGATTCCTGCCAAGACGCCTCCAGCGATGCTTATCCGTTCCCGGGAAAACGTATGAGGAAAAGAGGTAAACGAGCAGGAATCCAGGTGAGAATAAGACTTGTCTTAAAGCATGGTTTGACTAGTAAACATCAGCACGATCTTCTAGCTTCTAGTCCTTTGTTTGGCGACCTGAGCACCACTTCCGCATTTCCACCAGGCCGCGTTGCATCGCGGTTTCTCCGCCCAAGTTTTTTAAGGTCTGTTTATCCTCATTCTACAGTGGTTTCTCCTCCTGTTCCCTCCATGAGTACTTTTTATAAACACCGTAGATCTAACCCTTTTAATCTACATCCACTAACTCCAGCTACTTTTGTAGTTTCTGATTCCTCCACCTCACTCAGCATCGCTCTATTAAATACCCGCTCTGTTAATAAGTCATTCCTGCTTAATGATCTAATTCTCTCTAAAAACCTAAATTTTCTGTTTCTGACTGAAGTTTGGCAGCAAACATCTGATTATTTTGGTCTGATTGAACTCTACCTAAGTGGTTATTCTTTTCTTACCCAGCCCTGAGGTTCTGGTCATGGTGGAGGCCTAGTTGTTGTTTTCAGAGACCATCTTCAATGTAGCTCTACAACCTCTGGTCACTTTGCTTCCTTTAAACAGCAGCTGATTAAAGCTGGGCGTAAGGACCCGTTTTACTGTGCTGTGGTTTATTGTCCACCTGGTCCAAACAGTTCTTTCCTTCAGGAGTTTAGTGACTTTCTATCCTCCACTGTGAAGCTGTCCAGACTGGTGATTGTTGGTGACTTTAACATCCAAGTTGATGATCCCTCAGACCACTTTGTCATGGATTTCTCCAGCCTTATGGACTCCTTCAGTTTTACCCAGCATGTTTCTGACCCCACACACACCAGGGGACACACTCTATACCTTGTTTTTACCCGGAGTTTAAATGCTGACAGTGTTTGCCATGAGGACGTTTATATTTCTGATCAACATTGCATTTTCTTTAACTTGTCAGTTTCTGCGTCCCCACCTCTTGCTCACTGTATGGTTAGTTCTTGTTTTCTTAATGAGAGCACAGCTAGCAAATTTTCTGCTGCTTTTGATCCACCGTGTTCTTCTGATAACGACCCAGATTCCTTAACCAATCAACCAATCAACCAATCAACCAATCAATCAATCAATCAATCAAAGCTTTATTTATAAAGCGCCTTCCGCAACCCTGTCAGGAAGCCCAAAGCGCTGAACATGGTTCAGTTGAAGGTCTTAAAGGCTGGCAGAGATGGGGACAGCCTAACTGAGGGTGGCAACTGGTTCCAGAGTGACGGTGCTAGGACTGGGAAAGCCCGGTCCCCGCGAGTACGACACCTAGAACGAGGGACAGCGAGCAGGCCTTGGTCAGAGGAGCTCAGAGCGCGTGATGGGGAGTGTCTGTTCAGGAGTGTGGCTAGATGGGGGGACCACCACCCTGGAAGAAATGATAAACAAAGACGAGGATTTTGAATTGTGAGCGATAGCAAACCGGAAGCCAGTGCAGGGAGGCCAAAACCGGACTGATGTGGTCCCGTTTCTTTGTCCCAGCCAGGAACCTGGCTGCGCTGTTCTGCACAACCTGTAGGCGACGCAGTGATGATTGACACAACCCTGCATAGAGAGAGTTGCAGTAGTCAAGCCCAGAAATTACAAAGGCATGCAGTACCTGCTCCAGGTGGGCTCTCGACAGCATATGCTTGATTTTTGCAAGGCGTCTCAGGTGAAAGAAACTGGACCGGATCACAGAATTGATGTGAGCATCAAATTTAAGTCCAGCATCAAGTTTCACCCCCAAACTTGTAACAACTGGTTTTGAGTAGGGAGAAAGAGGGCCAAGATCAACATAACGATCCACATTCCTGCTGTTGGGGTGAAAAACAATGAGCTCTGTCTTTCTGTCATTCAGATTTAGAACGTTGGCCATTAGCCAAGACTTCACCTCGTTAAGACAGGACAAAAAGGACTGGATAGAGTGACCTTTCTCCTGACACAATGGAGAGTAAATCTGAAAATCGTCAGCATAGAGATGGAATGATAGGCCATGTTTACGAAAGATTGACCCCAGAGGTAGCAGATAAAAGGCAAACAAAAGAGGACCAAGGATCGATCCCTGCGGGACCCCCCAGCAGAGCCCCTCCCAAGATGAAAAAATCACCCAGTTTAACGCAGAATGTCCTGTTGTGGAGATACGATCTAAACCAGTCCAGAGCAGACCCCTTGATCCCAACCCATCGTTCCAAGCGATCGAGTAGAATCGCGTGGTCAACTGTGTCGAAGGCTGCTGTCAGGTCTAACAACAGAAGCACCACAGATGTACCCTGATCTAGTGATATATAGATGTCATTTAGGACCCTCAGTAGAGCTGACTCTGTGCTATGGCCAGACCTGAACCCTGATTGAAAAACCTCGAACAGATCAGAGTCAGCTAAATGTGAGACCAGCTGCTGATAAACGACTTTCTCAAGCAGTTTTGATGTAAAAGGCAGGGTAGATAGGCCTGTAATTTGCGATCACAGAGACATCAGCACCAGGTTTCTTCAGGGTCGGTCGAATAACTGCTGCTTTCAAAGCAGCTGGGACAACACCTGTGCTGAGGCTCCCATTGATAATCTGACCAAGTGATGGGCCAAGACACGGAAAGGCAGCCTTCCAGAGACGAGGTGGCAGAACGTCAAGTGGAGAGCCAGATGGCTTCTGCCTCACAACAAGCTTACTCAGCTCAGAGTATGAAACAGTATTGAGGGAGCTCAGGGTGGGTGGTGATGGAGGAACTGGAACAGGGTCAATAGAGTTACCAGAAATAGCTGCTTTAATGCCTGATCCTTTATGAACAAAGTATCTGTGAAGTAACTTCTCAGTTTAATGAGCACTGCCTCTCCATTCTGGACAACATCTGTTCGGTCAGGGAACCCTACTCCCTGGTTTAATGACAGCATTCGCAGCCTGAAGCGCCAATGCAGAAAAATTGAGCGCTTGCAAAAGAAACCCCGTCTTGTTAAAACACAAATAACATTTCTTTCTGCTTTCCGGGTTCATTTTTCATGCTTTGTTGCTCATAGAAGTTACATTTAACTTCAGGATTGAATAACTGCTGGTAAAATGATACTCTGCTGCAATTTTGTCCAAAATGTTACTATAAGGTTAGAGGTTTATCCAATTTCTCTCACTTTTGTTGAGCTGCGCTCAGATCAGCAGATCCGCAGCGGTCTGTCCAACCTGCTCAAGTATCACAGACCCAGATAGAGGGAGTGTACTTACTAAATTCCACAATAACATCCACTGTCTTCTAGGCATTTAGCACCAGGTTATTGTGGCTGTACCAGGACACTAGCCATTTGACCTCCATTCTGTTGGCAGACTCATCCCCATCCGAGATGATTCAGATGATGGTGGTGTAATCTGCACTTGGTTAGCTTGACATACTGGAGGTTAGAAGTGCAGCCATTGGTCTATAGGGAGAAGAGTAGAGTGGGGGAGAAAACAACCCTGAGGGGAACCGGTACTGATGGTCCGCAGGTCCGAGACATTTGCCTCCAACCTAACTTGCTGCTTCCTTTCTGTCAGGAAGTCAGTGACCCACCTTCAGGTGGGGCCAGACATGTTCATCTGGGACAATTTGTCTTGAAGGTGGTCTAGGAAAATTTTATTGACGGCAGAGCTGAAGTCCACAAACAGGATCCTGGCGTAGGTACCCAGGGAGTCCAGATGCTGCATGATGAAGTGTAGTTTAGGGATGCATCTATCCACATTTTTTTCACTTCCGATCCGATTCCGATACCTGAGTTTTGATTCCTACCGATGCCGATATTATTTCGATACTAGAGGAATATTTGTTTTAATGTCATTATGATTATTATTATGGTTGATTTTATAAGGCTATAATAAACTATTTTCTACAAGAATAATATGTAATTGTGAGAAAGCTCTACAAGTAAGAGCCCAGCACCATGTCCCAAAAGATAAGTTGAGATAAGTGAGGTCAGAAAACAACAAAATGTCTATTTAAAAAAAAAAGCAACTGTAATGTTTCAAATTGAAATGTATTCATTTTCAAGGCAGGGTTACTGGATACAAGTGCAATATGCACAATCAAAGAAACAACCCCTTTCATTTGAACTAAACAGCCCAGATCCAAATAATCACACTAGGCAGTAACACATTTTTAAAGTGTCAAACATGAAATGAAATGGGTAAACTTCCATAAAACTACTCCAAATAAAATAGAGGGCTGCTTCATCTAATCCCCACAAATTAAGTTCACTGTCTTTTGTAGCATCAAAAAGTAGTTTTCAAGTATAAAATCACACTATCAAAAATGTGCATCTGAAACAAATTCAGTAAGTCCTTGCTCATGTAGCAGTAAAAAAATAAAAATTTCAAATGTTAAATATTTTGAATTAAAGAAAAGTACAATAAGTGCACTGTAAACACACAGCAACAGTGTGCATCTGAAAAGTACGATTCAAGCATTGGAGATTTTGCATTGAAGATGACCTGGATAAAGTAAACAGTCTGTCAAGAGTCTGGAGCTATTCTTGAAAACAAAACAAAAAGTAAATGCGTGAGGTACTTACACGTTGTTCATCTAATCTCACTTAATCAATGACAGGTTATTTTTGATGAATATAAGCATTTCTGCTCTTTCTGCTGTCAGATGATTCCTTTCTTCATCCACAATACTGGATGCTGTACTAAACAGTCTTTCACTTTCAACACTCATTGAAGGAGCACTCAGGAACTTTAATGCAACAGCAGCAAGGAGAGGAAAGCGGGCATGGTTGTCTGCCCAGCACTGGAAAGGGCTGTCTAGCTCACCCATTGTTGGTTCTTTCAAGTACATTTGCATCTGGATAACTGCTGCCTAGGTACCTTGTGCAGGTTCATCATGTTCCTCTAGAATTTTGTCATCTCTCTGTGCCTTCGGGGCATAGACTGTGCCTCCCAGCCCGGGATGTCTTATATAGACATTTCACAAGACATAATTCTGGATCGGAAATTTGTGCAGGTTGGGTCGGAATTTTCCGATCCGTGATTTAAGACCATATCGGAGCCCGATTCCGATACTGGATTGGATCTGCCCCAACCCTAGTGTAGTCCCAGGTTAATGGTATAATCTACAGACCTGTTCGCTCTGTACACAAAATAAAGAGAGTCCAGGAGGGGGGCTGTGAGGGTCTTGAGGTGGGGGAGAACCAGGAACTCAAATGGCTTCATGACCACAGATGTCAGGGCCAAAGGTCTGTAGTGATTGAATCAAGTGATCCTTGGCTTCTCTGGGATGGAGATTATTGTGGACTTCTAGAAGCAGGCAGGCACATGAGATTCCTCCAGTGAGGAGTTGAAATTGCCCGTAAACACTGGGGCCAGCTCATCTGCACAGTACTTTAGAGTGACAGGAGATACACAATCAGAGTCAGGAGCTTTCTGTGCATTTAGAGTCTTGAATTGCTTCCTAACATCCGCCTCATGGTGGAGGTGTGTGATGTGGGGTCCTCATGAATGTGGAATTAGGAGAAGGGTGCTGTGGATAAAGTCCACAGTGATGGTGATGGCTCTGGAGTGGGGGGATGAAGGACCATAGTGTCTCTATTGTTGGGACTATAGGAGGTGTCAGAGCTGTTTGAAGGCTCATCGAAATGACAATAGCAGTTGTTTGAGTTGTTGACCAAAAGCAGATTTAACTGTGTGTCAACTCCACCTGAATTACTTTGTATACTTTGTATAGACCGTTTTGATACAATGTGTCTGATGATTTTTTACGATACACTTGCCTTATGTTTTCTGACCTTGATGATCCAACCCACTACTGGCTTACATTATTACTCAATGGTGGATCTGCTGCGATCATCAAGGATCCCGGCTAGGCTTTTAACAGGATTTCCGAGCATCAGTACCCTCCTATTGGTCCCCTTCTTGACCCACCACTGCGACAACCTGAGAGAATTGGCAACTCAAGCATGTTAGCCAGCTTAGCTAAGGTGGCTAGCACACCGGTTAATTGGGTAAGAGTAATTTCTTTCAGGATCTTGTCACAGATCATAAGCTTGACATTATGTCTCTGAATGAGACATGGCAAACAACCGCAGGACTTCACGCAGCTTAATGAAGCAGTGCCACCAAGGTTTGTTTACAAGGCTAAACCTCATAGCTCAGGCTGCGGAGGAGGTCTCACGATACTCTACCATGAAAGTTGTCCCACAGACTGTTTCTCAATATGGTTCGTTGGAATCAATTGTCTGTCAAATATCTGGTTTAATTCCTACAATTTTTGCATCTGTTTATTGTCCTAAACCAAAGATTTTCTGAATCATTTTTTAGCTTTTCTTGGACATTTGACTTCCTTATCTCAGAATATCATTATGCTAGTAGATTTTGATATATGCCTGGATTACAGTAAATTCTGACTACCAGTACCTTTGTTTCATTCTTGGATAATTTTGGTTTTCAGTAATAAGTGGATTTTCCAACACATATCAAAGTGGACTCACTCCTACTGACTACCGCTGACAAATTTTCTTCTTCAAATAATTTTCTTCTTACATTCAAGTTGTCTCTCACCCTCATAGCCTGTTTGCTCCATCATCTTTTGGAATCTTAAAAACCTCAATATGGACAATTTTCTTTTCTGTATGAATGATTTTGCGGATATGCTACAATTTCTCTCCCCACCTGACCAGGTTTCCTTCTCCATCGATAACCTTCTTGAGATTTTAAACTCAGTTCTATGTTTGAACTCCCATCTATCTTGGAACTCATTAATCATTTCAATTTTAAAGTCTTTGGTATGACCCGACCGGGATTTGAACACCGTTCTCCCAGTCCCAGGGGAGACACTCTACCACAAGGCCACTGAGCTGGTAATATAAGCTACTTGATCCCTCTAGGGTACATCTTTACAAAATTTAACATAAACTTTCATTGTTATCCTGTTGACTCTCAATTATATGTTTCCACCACTCGGTCCTTGTTTCTTCCACCTCTGTCACTCATTGACTGCATATCCGACATTAGGTCTTGGTTTTCTTTAAACTTCCTTAAGCTGAACTCCAATTAAACTCAAGTTCTTCTCATGGGTACAAGATCTGCATTGGGGAAGGCTGGAACATTCTCAATGGCTATTGCGAACGCTGTAGTTGCCTATTTGGACCACATAAAATACCTTGGTGTTATTTTAGACCGTTTCCTTTCCTACCATTCAAATATCAATGCAGTTACCCCTTCAGTCTAATGTCTCCTTTGAAATATTAATCAACTGCATCCGTCACTCTCTAATCACGCGACTGCCATCTTATTAAATAGTCTTGTCACTTCTCGCTACTACTTTAATTCCCTCCTGTTTGGTTTGCCACAGAAGTCCTTGCACAAACTTTAACTGGTTCAAAGCTCTGCAGCTCGTATCATTACTAGAACAGCCATCTCTAATCACATTACCAATGTTATCCAGCAGCTTCATTGGCTGCTGATAAAGTTTCGGATCATTTACAAATTACTACTTCTCACATACAAACTTGCCCCTATTTATCTTTCTCAGCTCCTAAAAATATCTACACCCTCCCGTATGTCCAGATCCTCAGCCTTTATCAACCTATAAAACCCCTCTGCCTGACTTGTTATCATGGGAAGTATATCATTAAAAAGATCTGCACCTTCCCTGTGGAATTTTTTTTACTCATGGAACTTAATAAAAAGTAAAGGTAGACAGAGTTCTGGAATGATTTCTTCTTGTCTAATTTTTACATATGGCTGCATGGTGGTGCAGTTATTGTAGCAGTGTTGCCTTGCAGCAAGAAGGTTGCAGGTTTCAAACTCAGCTGCGACCTTTTTGCGTGGAATTACGTGTTCTCCCCATGCATGTGTGGGTTTCTTCCAGGTACTTTGATTTCTTCTACAGGTTTAAAATTGTACGCATTAACTCCAGTGGTAACATGACACAAGTCACCTAGGTCGTGCAGCTCAACCAGGATGGCAGATCAGTGTGAACTGTGGCAAGAAGGTTTGCTGTGTCTGTCAGTGTAGTGTCCAGAGCATGGGGGCACTACCAGAAGACAGACCAGTACACCAGAAGACGTGAAGGAGGCCATCCATCAATGCACCATCCACCACTGCTACGTTGCACCAAAGACTGTCCAGGAGTTGGCAGGTGCTTAATCTAGGTCTAGGAGGAGATCCCTCATCAGACCATCCACCACCTGATCAGGAGTTTGCCAAGGCATTGTAGGGAGATCATATATTTACGTGGAGGCCACATAGAGTACTGAGTCTCATTCTGATTTATTTTAAGGACATTACATCAAAGTTAGATCAGCCTGTAGTGTTTCTCCATTTTAATTGTAAGTGTGACTCCAAATCCAGACCTCCACGGGTTGATAAATTTGATTTCTATTGATAATTTTTTGTGATTTTGTTGTGAGCACATTTAACTATAAAAAGGAAGAATTATTTAATAAGAAAATTTCATTCATTCAGATGTAGGATGTCTTATCTTTTGTGTTCCCTTCATTTGTTGAGCATATATATATATATATACTCCATATATGTTGGTGGTGCCCGTGGTCATCAGGACACTTGGAGAAGTTACCTCCCAAAGTGGAGGAGTGGCTAAAGCAGATCCATCCTTTATTTGAACCTGCTTATCTATGCAGGGTCGCAGGGGTGGCTGAAGCAGATTCCAGAAAAAAAACATCTGACATCTCAGTCCAGAAAAGTGCACTTCTAAGAACAGCTAAATACTGCACAGAACCCTCAAGCTGCCAGGCCTCTGGTATAGGGCCTGAGCTTGGAAGGATGAGACCACCCCTGTGGGTGAAAAGTTTTTTTTTAACATATATCCTCTCCATTTTTATTTATTTTTTGGGGGGAAGGGGGGGTACACTACTTAATTTTGCACCAATTCTCAACAAATTCTTATGTCAAATCCTTTTAATTATCAATAAAAGAAAATCAGCTTTTCTAGGAAAAAGATCGGCAGGTTGACCTTTGATCCTTTCCACATGACTCATTCCAGCCAATGAACGTTGCTTCTCTTCATCTTCTCCGAAAGCTTCCAAATTAGGACTGGGGGACTTTTAGCAAGCGAGTGATGCATGCAGGTAAAACCCTCTCGTCGCTATCTGTTATTAAGAAATGTTTGTTAAGTTTTTTGGTCTGTTTGTCTAAAGCTGTAACTTGCTAATTCAGTATAGTTGTTGTGTTGAAGCTAGCTTTGTGAACAGCTGTGCTGTAGCTTACAGTTAACAAGGTAATGAGCTAAACAGCTTGGTTGTCGAACTTATTTTCTCAGTTAAAATGAGCTAATTAAACGTTCAAAAGTGTGTGGCATGCGACATGTTCAGCTTATGAAGTCAACAGGTGAGGTTGATAAATGGTTTCTTTGAAGAGTCAATATTTGCCGGGCCTGTCTCGTCACGTCCCCTAACTCACCGTAGTCAGTGAGAGAGGAGGACAGTCACGCTAATTGTTCCTATCGGTGCACTTGACACACTGGAACTGCAGGCGAAACTGCCTCCCTTGGCTGTCCCAGGGGCTGACTTGAGCCTGTCTGTTTCAGCCTGAGATATTGGAGGTGGTGTGTGAAGAGGGTCAGATGCGTGTCTCATGCTGCCCTGACTGACACTGACAATAGTATAAGATTTAATGATTTAAACAGTTAATAATCATGGATGTTGTTTTATCAATTAACTACAAGGACCTAAGTCATTTATTTTGTGTATGGAAACATGCAATGATTAATAAAATGATCTTTAATTTATTAGAAAAGTTGGTAGGATGCTTAAATTAGTGATTAATTTTAGTCCTGGACAGCCACCGTCCCGCAGATTTTCTGAGGTTATTCTTTAACACCTGATTTTGATCTGCATGTGATTAGCAGGCTTTTGCTGATCTTGATTACCTGCTGCACAGGTGATTCAGTCATTGAATCAGATGTGTTTGGGCAGAGAAACAAGTTAAAGATGCAGGATAGTGGCCCTCAAGGATTAGAGTTGGGCACACCTAGCTTAAATTGGTGAAGATTATTAATCAAGTACCTGTATAAGTTTTAGATTTCCTGTGAAAACCCACAATTTTTTGTCTTTTTAGATGCATGATGGCAAAGCGACCAAAAAGAGTGAAAATGAAGCCAAAAGATGAGGCAGTGCAGTTTTTGGCTTTGGGTAAGGACAAGGATGGATTTGATGTGAAATTCATCAACTCTTTCAAAGGTCAGTCATCAAGCTAGATGTTTGGTCTACATTTGATTATCATTTTGGGTTGATAATGAAATAATGTGGTGTTTCTCAGGGCGAGGAGTGTTCAGTACATGCCACTTTGAGAAAGGATCATTTCTTGTAGAATATCGAGGCGAAGTCATAAACAAACTGGAATATGAAGACAGGTTAAGGATTTATCATGATGCAATGAAGGTCTTCATGTTTGAGTTTCGTCATAATGGAAAACTTATGTGGTATGTAAATTAAAGCATTCAAAAGTAAAACTTTTTTTAAATAGTTATATAATTTTTTTTCTTTTTGTCCTGTCACTTGTTTTGTGATTTCAGTGTTGATGCCTCAAGGGAGGATGATTCATTAGGAAGACTAGTTAATGATGATCATGTGAGCCCAAACAGCAAAATGAAGACGATAACTGTAAATGGACAACCGCATCTCTGCTTATTTGCCATAAAGGACATTAAACCAGGGGAGGAGATAACCTATGATTACGGAAATTCTGACTGGCCCTGGAGATTAAAGGTGCATGTCGAATTAGGACTTTTACCATGAATATTGTACAACTTTGAAATAATAGGTAGAGAAAGAAGTCATTTTTTTTGAGTATATTTTTTATAGTACTTTATTAATATGTAAGTTTGCTCCGCTAAGAGAATTTTGCTGTGACAATTATCCTGTATTTTAATGTTATCTTTGTTTAATGTCCTCAAGGTTACAAGTCTCACCGATGCAGCGAAAGCCGATGAACCACTGGCATCAAAACAAGACATCCAGGTGGTTAGATCTCTGCCTATTGTAATCTTTGTACATGTTTCTTACAATTTTGGATCGGATGTTGGATGTTGGCAGTCGACACAGTCCCTGTAATGTGTGATCCTTTCAGATGACAACATTCTGAGGACTGTGTGTATAACTAACAAAATGGGGAGAGCATGTGTTCTCGCATCCAGTTTTTACACAGTCCTCACAATTCAAAATGTCTTGTTGGGTATTAATGAGGACTGTGTGTAAAAGGTCTCTTGGTGTGAACTAGTTTGGTACCTATGAAGTTACTTTACTGTTTTCAGGCTAACCTTTTGTGTCAGTGGCAGCACTCACATATAACTGTATGTGCCGGTGTTAGTTTGTAACCAGATAAGTTCCGAATAGATTTTAATGCACTTTTTGTTTCATTTGCACAAGGTTACAAGTCTCTACGATGCAGCAAATGCAGATGAACCTCTGGCAACTCTGTCCTCAAAACAAGACACCCAGGTAAGTAGTTTTCTGCCTTTGTAATCTTTCTACGTGTTTCTTAAAATTTTTTATTTGGATTTATACGTTGGGGCAGTCGACACAGTCCCTGTAATGTGTGATCCTTTCAGATGACAACATTCTGAGGACTGTGTGTATAACTAACAAAATGGGGAAAGCATGTGTTCTCGCATCCAGTTTTTACACGGTCCTCACAATTCAAAATGTCTTGTTGGGTATTAATGAGGACTGTGTGTAAAAGGTCTCTTGGTGTGAACTAGTTTGGTACCTATGAAGTTACTTTACTGTTTTCAGGCTAACCTTTTGTGTCAGTGGCAGCACTCACATATAACTGTATGTGCCTGTGTTAGTTTGTAACCAGATAAGTTCCGAATAGATTTTAATGCACTTTTTGTTTCATTTGCACAAGGTTACAAGTCTCTACGATGCAGCAAATGCAGATGAACCTCTGGCAACTCTGTCATCAAAACAAGACACCCAGGTAAGTAGTTTTCTGCCTTTGTAATCTTTCTACATGTTTCTTAAAAATTTTTATTTGGATTTATACGTTGGGGCAGTCGACACAGTCCCTGTAATGTGTGATCTTTTCAGATGAGAACATTCTGAGGACTGTGTGTATAACTAACAAAATGGGGAGAGCATGTGTTCTCGCATCCAGTTTTTACACAGTCCTCACAATTCAAAATGTCTTGTTGGGTATTAATGAGGACTGTGTGTAAAAGGTCTCTTGGTGTGAACTAGTTTGGTACCTATGAAGTTACTTTACTGTTTTCAGGCTAACCTTTTGTGTCAGTGGCAGCACTCACATATAACTGTATGTGCCGGTGTTAGTTTGTAACCAGATAAGTTCCGAATAGATTTTAATGCACTTTTTGTTTCATTTGCACAAGGTTACAAGTCTCTACGATGCAACAAATGCAGATGAACCTCTGGCAACTCTGTCATCAAAACAAGACACCCAGGTAAGTAGTTTTCTGCCTTTGTAATTAGGGCTGAAATGATTCCTCGAGTACCTCGAATAATTCAAGTACAAAAAATCCTCGAGTCAAGTTATCTGCCTCGAAGCTTCATTTAATTCATGTTTAATTAATTAATGACTTTGCAATCACCCGTGGCCATGTTTAACCCGGACCGAAATAAGTGACTCACATACACACTGCACTGAATGCACACGCGAGTAGCGAACGCAACTTAACATTCTTTTATGCCATGGTGGACAATGTGGACCCCGGTGGAGTGCGAAAAAGACACAAAATGTCAAAGGTGTGGGACCATTTTTCACGTCGTAAGGCGGAAAACGTAGTCCAGTGTAAATACTGTAAAATGGATTTAGCCTACCACAACACCACATCCTTCATGCTGCAGCACCTTTAAATGTCACTTCTGCAAGTGGACTCGGAGCCTCTACAAGATAATGCATTTTGGCCTGTTTTTCTATATATTCTGCAGACACTGTGGGACTTTTTCATTTGTAGTACTCAGTTTCAGCTCACACCGTACGTCTGGTAGCAACACGTCGGACTTAAAATTAGCTAAAAATAGCAGTTTTTACAACACGTTAGACTTTTTACTGTGTTATTGATGTCTGTTGTCCCTCAGGATTGCTGCAGGAGGACACAGGTATTTATGAGGAAAACGAAAGAAAGTAAATAAATGTTTTGTGGTCAGTATAATTTGACATAACCACGGCAAACATGCTTTCGACAATCCTTGTTAGTGTGAGACAAGAAAAGTGTAGAAATTAAAACAGACGTGTGTTAATAGGGAAATAGCTGGCGAGCCATGTTTGCGCATGCGCCGTGAGAGGTTCTGGTGCTGTTTGGGCCGCAGCCAGTCACATTTGTTTACTGTGAAGTAAAGTTGAAGTGCTGAAGTTTTGAAAACAAATTTTGAATAAAACTTGAAGAATAACTGGCAAGTGCTTTCTCATTTCAAGATATATTTCATATTTTATAAAATGCTATTTGATATAATGGTTTAAAAACGCAGTAGAGTAATTTATTAGAGTACTCGATTAATCGATAAAAGATTCGATAGAGTACTCGATTACAAAAATATTCAATAGCTGCAGCCCTATTAATCTTTCTACATGTTTCTTACAATTTTTTATTTGGATTTATATGTTGGGGCAGTCGACACTGTCCCTGTAATGTTTAATCCTATCAGAGAAGACCATTAAGGGGACTGTGTGTTTTTGAACTGGCAAAATACTGATGGATGTATTCACACATCTAAACTTTACAATCCCCAGATTTCAAAATGTCTTGTTGGGTTTTAAAGCTGCAATAGTAAATTTAGAAAATAAATGGCTTAAAATATTTATTGTTCATGCCTCTTAATGTTCTAACATACACTGCCTGGCCAAAACCAAAAGTCGCTACCAAATTTGATTAAAGCTCACATTTGCTGTGGCATTGTTTTGATAAGCTTCTGCAATGTCACAAGATTTATTTTCATCCAGTCTTGCATTGTTTCTCCAAGATCTTGCATTGATGATGGTAGTCTGACTGCTGCGCAGTCTTCTCCAGCACATCCAATAGTTTCCCAGTGGGGTTAAGTCCTAGTCTCTGTGATGGCTGATCCATGTGTGAATGGATTTTAATGTTCTCTTTGTTTCATGTCCTCAAGGTTACAAGTCTCACCGATGCCGCGAAAGCCGATGAACCACTGGCGTCAAAACAAGACATCCAGGTGGGTAGATCTCTATCTTTTGTAATCTTTCTACATATTTCTTACAATTTTGGATTGGATGCTAGATGTTGAGGATGTAGACAGTCCTGTAATGTGTGATCCTTTCAGATAAAAATTTAGAAGTTTTGTACTTCAGAAGTAACTTTGCTGTCATTCTCAGGCTAACCAATTGCCTCAGTGGCAGGACTTAACATTACTGTTTGTACATGTTTTAGTTTGTAACTAGAAAATTTCTGAATATATCTTAATGTGCTTATTGTTTCATGTCCACAAGGTTTTAAGTCACACCGACGTAGCCGAAGCTGTGACAGTAGCATCTCCCTTGTCAACACAAGACATCCAGGTGGGTAGACCTCTTCTTTTGTAATCAATGCATTTTGTAGGATTTGTTTTGATTTTAAAAGTTGAGGAACCAATAATCTAAACTACCTTTAACATTAATGGGTTTCTATTCTAATGTTTGTTTTTGTTCACATTGTTCTAATTTGTTTGAAAGTTTTACTTTTTTTTTCTTTTATATATATAGAGCTGCAAACATGTTCTGTGCCCATCCTCAATGACCAGCATGGAAAAATGTGTCCATTGCTTAGGACCATATTCAGCAAGAAAATGGGATGGTGTGAAATGCAGAGGTTTGTTTAGTTTGCACCCCCCACCCCCCATCCCCCATTAATAATTTCAGTTTTTGTTCTAGTTGATAATGGGAATACTTTGATCTGGTTTTAAGCTGCTGATTTCAAAAGGTTCAGGTCACAGATACAGATAAGGATGTCAATCACATGAAATGGCCACAGTGGTTTCTATGTCGCTATTGTGAGTGCTACTGGCTACATTATGTGGCAAAAAAGGAACAATAAAATTGACTTGAGACAGATTTTTTTTTACATACTTTTTCGAGAGAGAAAAAATTCAAAAAGTAAGGGTAAATGTTTGCGATGCTGGACATGGTCTATGCAGGCTTCAAAGTATGAGTGACAAGTGATAGGCTGTTATGGACACTAAAAGGCTTTGATTAGATTTTGACAATCATTTTTTTAATGGACATTGGTTGATAATGATTAACAGCTGATTGGTGCAACACTAGTTTATCGATAAATTATTGAGTTAAATAAAATATTTTCTTTGTATTGTATTAGAAAACCTTTAAGTTAAACGTAACTTTATATAAATGCTGATTTCATCACTTGTCTATCTGTATTTTTCTGTCTGTAGATTTGCGCTTCTGTGATTCATAAGTTTTAGAGGTAACGATACAGATATCCTGGGATTTTATATATATAGATACAGTATATGTAGATATAGATAGATTACCTTAAAATTAGTTATAACTTGTCTTTTGTCTTAAACGTCAGATATGACCTGACAATGAATGTAGATGTAAGCCAACAATTATTTTAAACAATTTGGCAGGAGTTTTGCCAAGAAAAATTTTAGTTTTGCACTGTTGAGTATCCTTTAATTGTGTGGAAATGATTGATGGATTTAAAAATAATTTTCATAAGACTTCCCCCTTTTTCTATATTTCTTAGTATGTTCCTCTATCTGGCACGAGAAATGTTTCAACAACACCATGAGGGATTCTTCATTGGTAAATATTTGATTTATTTTTTAAATGTTTCTCTACTTTTCAAGGACAATGTTGGATTTAAACCTTTTATTTTAAGGTTTCTGAAGAAAGTGACCCAAGTGATGAAGTGTCAGAGGAAGAATATGTCCCTGATTCTGTAAGCTCTTCAAGTGATTCAGACAAACTCTCAGATAAGAAGCTACCACAACGTGAACAGTTTGAAGTTCAAGAAGAAGAAATGTCTTTAAAGACTACTGCAAGAACTGAGGATGCGGAGAACATCCAGTCGTCTAGTGTATCTTCTACTGAGAAGAAAAATTATTGCTTTGTTTGTGACAAGCCACAATCTAAACTTGCTCGACACTTCCAAGTTCATGAGAAGACACATGCAGAAGTTGCTGAAGTTTTGGCTCTACCAATAAATTCGAAAATGCGTAAACTAAAGTTGGATCGTTTAAGGAACAAGGGAAACTGTAAACACAACTCTGAGGTTTACAAAAGTGGCAGTGGACTGCTAAAAATCAAACGCAAACCAAAGAAGATATATGACTTGAACCAGTATGTGCACTGCACTTATTGCCAAGGGCTTTATCTTCGCAAGCACTTCTGGCGACATGCTCATAAATGTAAAGCAAAACCACTGCAAGATGAACAAGAGAGTGGAAGGGTCTTGACTTTGGCCTCAATGGTGGACTCATCCTTGTGTCAACAAATATCCCAAAGTGTTTGGAAGCTCTTATCTGTGATGAGAGATGATGAAGTGGCTACTGCTGTACGAAGTGATTTTAACATACTTCAGCTTGCACAGTCATTTTTTAATAAACATGGCCAAGATCCCACCAAGCACGAATATATTCGTCAGAAGATACGTGAAGTTGGAAGACTCCTTCTAATCCTGCGCAAAGATTATTCAGTATACAATCTTGAAGAAGCAGTCAGGCCTTCAAATTTCCATACACTTGTCCAAGCTGTTAAGAAAGTCTCAGGGTTTGATGAAGAAAAGCATTCATTCCAAACGCCAAGCCTTGCTCTGAAGTTAGGGCATTCGTTGCACAAGATTTGTGACATTATAAACTGTAAAGCTTTGATGACAGGAGACTGTGAGCTAAAAAAGTCAACCCAAGCTTTCAAAAAACTGTACTCAACTAAGTGGTCTGAACTAGTGTCTCACACAGCTTTAACCACCTTAGATGACAAGCACTTCAACAAACCATCCACTCTCCCGTTCACTGAGGATGTTAAACGTCTTCACCAACATCTTGAAAAGGTTGGAAATTCAGCATCAGAGACCTTGAAATGCGATCCATCACCACAAGCCTATGGAGAACTTTGTAAAACTACACTGTCAAAAATAATTTTGTTCAACCGAAGACGAGGGGGAGAGGTTTCTAAAATGCACCTGTCTGCCTTTGCTATGAGGGACACATCTCCTTTACATAAAGATGTTGCACTTGGTCTTTCACAATTTGAACAAAAACTCTGTGCCCATTTCAGCCGTGTTGAAATTAAAGGTAAGAGGGGGCGAAAGGTTGCTGTACTATTGTCGCCAGACATGGTGGAAGCCATCAACATTCTCATCAGCAGAAGACAAGAGTGTGGAGTGCCACAGAAAAACCCTTTTCTCTTTGCTCGACCCCACTGTCTCACTCCGTTTCGCGCACAGGACTGTCTGAGGCTTTATTCAAATCAGTGTGGTGCTCAAAGACCTGACCTGCTTCGATCAACACAACTACGCAAGCATGTTGCAACATTATCACAGGTTTTGAATCTCAAAAACCATGAACTGGACCAAGTTGCTGACTTTCTGGGACATGATATTCGTGTTCATAGAGAATATTATAGGCTGCCAGAGGCCACAACCCAACTTGCAAAAATATCAAAATTACTTATTGCATTGGACAAAGGGGCACTTTCTGATCTTCAAGGCAAAACACTGGAGGAGATAGAAATTGAAGGTATTATTTACGTCTTTACATGTGAAAATCACATTCCTTGTGTTTTCAAATGTTAAATTTACTTTTAATTAAAATGACAGATGAGCTTGACCTGACAGACTCTGATGGAGGTGAAGAAAGTGAGACCGAGGAATTGACAGAATGCAGCACAAATGAAGAACCCAGTGAACCTCCAGGCACCAGAGATGGTATGGATATCCATCAGCATGTTTATTTCAAACTGACTTGGTGTTTTTGTACTTGATAATGTCATATTTATATGATGAATCGGCTGAAGAAAGCTCATCACCAAGTACTTTAAACAATTGACTCTAAATATTTTTTTAAATGAGCGTCTGCAATGCCACGAGATTTATCTCCATTCAGGGTAGCATTAATTTTCACCAAGATCTTGCATTGATGATGGTAGAGTCTGACTGCTTCACATATGGGCCATTCCCATCTGTACCGGGTCGGGCCGGGTAGCGTAGGTTGTTTACATATCTGGGTGGCCTGGTATTTTTCCGGGCCAACCAAGGCTCATTCTCAGCCCTCTTCTCGAGGGGGTCTGCTTCAGGCCGACCAGGGCCAACACACCCACTGCTGACAGCAAATTCACACCTTCCATTAGAGCAAGCCTCTGATTGGTGGGTAGAATCAGCCCACATGGGCTTAAGACAAGGATGTGTGGAATCAACCGGGCCAGGCTGGGGCGGACTGGGGCTACCCGGCCCGGGCCGACCCGGTACAGATGGGAATGGCCCAATAGCTTTCTCCAGCACACACCAAAGATTCTCAGTGGGGTTAAGGTCTGGACTCTGGTAGCCAATCTATGAGTTAAAATGATGTCTCATGCTCCCTGAACCACTCTTTCACTACTTGAGCCTGATGAATCCTGGCATTGTCATCTTTGAATATGCCCGTGCCGTTAGGGTAGTTGGAATAACCTGGGAGTATAGTAAGGTAGTCAGCTGACCTCATTTTTTGAGCACATCCTGTTGCTGAACCTAGACCTGACCAACTGCAGCAACCCCAGAAATGGCACTGCCCCCACAGGCCTGTACAGTAAGCACTAGGCATGATGGGTGCATCATTTCATCTGCTCCTCTTCTTAACCCTGAAGCACCATCACACTGGAACAGGGTCCTTCTGGACTCATCAGACCAATTTATAATAATGCGATGGACAGTTCTTAACCCATTTTTAGTCGTTTTTTGCATGTCAATGTTTTGACCCTTCCCAAACAGCCCTTATGTATTTTCCACAACCATTAGATGCGTCTTTCCACATGGTGATTTAAAGTGAGGGTCAGTGCATGGGTGAAGATGTATTTCATCCACACTTCCTGTTAGGAAAACACTTCTGAAAGAGGAAAGTCCGGCTGGCAGACCGAGAAGGCAGCATTGAGGCAGTGAGACTGCACCTGCCCTCAACCCCCCGCGTGTGCTGTCGGAGTTTCTCAGTCTAAAAACAAGTCATTAACAAGCGCATGCGTGCACACACACACTCACAAGACTTACCGCTGAGGAGAAAAGCAGACACAGATTCTGCAGCATTCTGGAGGATTTCCTGTTAACCACAATCATTAGATGAAAAGGAGAGGAGGGCTTTTTTTTCCAAGGAGGCAAGTGGCTCAGAGCGCTAATGTGTCAAATCAGCAGGTGAGTGGCTGAGCCAGATGGAGGTGTGGCTGCCTAATCTGGAGACCAGTGCGGTGCAGCCACGTAGTAAATTGCTGATGTCACGTTTTCCAGCTTGGCCATCAGCCACAGCCGGTTCTACATAAATGTGGAGCAGAATTTTAACGTGAAGATGGAGATGGAATTATGGTTTTGGGCTGAAGTATTACATTTAAAGTATGCCCTAAAATTGCACTAAACTGCCACACTAATGATTACACGTGTACTGAGCCTGAGATCAGTGGACTCAGTGGTCTCCTTTAAAAAGCAGCTGAAAACTCACTTGTTCAAGCTGGCTTTAGTGGCACCATGTTTAGGCACCTTGTGATCTCTCTCTTAAAAGGTGCTACGTGCCTATTTAACACCTTTCATCACCATTTATTCCACAGAAAGCAAGAGAGCCAGAGAGCCTGTTGATGATATTTCAGGTACATCTAAGGGTAAGACCATTTACCAGTTTGCACATTAACTGATTTATCATAAGTGTATTTTTAAAAAATTTATGAGCTGTGAAGTTTAACTGGTAATTATATTTTAGTATTACCAGCTACTCCAGGGTCATGACCACATAATGGCACCACACACAGTAAGCCCAGAATAACCACTTTATTTACTCGCATGCTTCTTTCTCTCAGCCATCGCACACCAGTCACCAGCACCTATTGCAGCTCAGCTTCTCTCCTCCGCCTCCTGCATATATCAGAGTTGGAGTGCTGATTACACATCCGCTTCTGTTGCATCCCTGCACCGTCTGTGTGCCACTGTTGTTGCCCTGCCTGTTTTGGATTCCCCCACAGACTTACTGCCCTGTGCACCACTACAGAAATATTTATAAACACATTAAATACTGGTGGTGGACTGTAAAAAATGCAAATTTCTAATGTTTTTTTTTTTTTTAATATTTTCTAGTCTTGAACAAAAGGATACCTAATTTTAAGTATCATGGGTTACTAACGCTTCTAACTTAAATATTGATTTTTCTTATTTATCAACAGCCATTGTGTTGGAGGAAAAAAATAATATTTTGTAGTTTTACAATGCATCTTTCATGTAATTTAAAACATGGGACTACACTAACCTCTAAGAAACCTTCAGACACTTCAGATGGCATGACTGCCTTTCAACACGTTATTAAAACTGCACTGAATCAGACCAGTGCTACACTTTTTGGGTTTAACATTTCTGAATTCTGTTTATAGATGTTGACTCTCCTGGAGAAGGAACATCTCAAGGTACCACTCCAATACTATATCTACCAGACTAATTAATGTTGGAACAATAAAAACATGCATACATTAGATTATTGTATTTATGAACCAAATGTCTCAACTTAGAACTGCCCCAGCATTAACTGGCCTAGCAAACCAGACATTTGGAAATGCATTTAACTGGGCCAGTATTATGAAATTAACGGTGCAAAGCACAGCTTACCTTTAATCAGATATTAGTTTTTCACATGTTTTTACCTGCCTGATTTTATGGAAAGGTTTTTGGGTGCAAAATTATTATACTGGATACTGATCAGGAAGGGAATGATGGCTTTAATGAGCAACTTATGTTAAAACATGTTAACTGACTTGTAAGGGTCCTAAGCCAAAGATTGGGTTAGGTTATTTTTGTCTTTTACCAAACTATAGGAAAAGTCCTGAAATAGTTTGAGGTTCACTTGGTTGAGGGGGAACAGTCTTGCAGAGTCTTTCTTTTGAGCCTACCAGGACCAGAGGCTTTGTGTGGAGCAGAAAAAAGGTCATCAGTTGCTCAATTTGGTGAGAGTTTGATGTGAAGATGTGGAAACTAGGCAGTTGAAACTGTTGGATGTGTTATGCCATTTTACCTGGTGAAGATATTAAGTTTTTTTGCAAAGAGGCTGGGTTCTGAATGGGGTTTAAGAGTTGTTTAAATCCTTCCTTGCATTTTCAGATATTGTCTTTCACTCCGGTTCGTTTCTGTAGTTTACAAAACCCATCTTGGCTATAATCTTGAACTCCTTTAACACAGAGGACAACTGGGAAGCTAAGTGTTTTCTTTTGGGCTAGGCAGATTTGATCTGATCATCCAGTGTTTGTTTAGAATAAATAATCTACCTGGTAGTGGCACTGTCACGTTTATTTTTTATGTTTTACCTTTAATCAGGAAAGATTGTTGGAATTAAACGTCCATAACAAGAATGTTCTGTCAAACAGGGAAATGTGAAAGTGCTCAGTCAGCAAATCAATGCTCAATACAGCATATTGGAAGAAGTTCACACATTAAAGGAAAATGAGGACATTAAGGTGGAATTCAATTTAAACTCATTTTGTGCATTTTGTTACAGGATTCATAAATGAAAACATTTGAGATTTTTGAAGTGTTTTTTTAAATGTGTCATTTTAAATTCACTGTAAGGAGTGGTCCTTTGGGTTTTAGGAGCTGATTCAAATATCTGCACCAGAAATATTGCCAAACAAGTCCAGTAGGCCTATGTTTATCATATTTGTGAGAAATGTGATGTATTAGTCTGTTGATCAGAAGTGCGGTTATGGAGGCATTCAAATACATCAGAAAGAAACCAGCTGCTCACTAGTTGGATTGGCAGCTAGGTTACAGCAGTATGCTTTTTGTAGGGATGTTTTCTTGGGAATATAATTACCAAAGTAATTTTTATTTTTATTTTTTTTTTGTAGCATTTCCTGATCAAGAAGCCCAAAAGAAGCGCCCTCGAAGGATTCAAAAGCGTCCCTGGTCTCCAAAAGAAGTTGCTGCAGTGATGAAGTACTTTAGCAAACACATCAACACTGGGAAGCTGGCATCCTTCATTGAAATAGAACAGTGTAAAAAGGCTGAATATCTCGTCCTTAAAGGCCGATCTCCACAGAACATAAGAGACTTTGTTCGAAACAGAGGCAAAGCTAAAAAAAAATCCTAGATGTCTCGATCGTTGATGTTGAGCAAAATGTTAATTAAAGCTCCATACAAGAATATTTGCTGTGCTTTCAAGTTGACAGTTGTAGTTCAATAACCCTCCCACTATCTTTATGGGTGACCCCGCGAGGAAAGTTGACCATTGAGCAGGATTGATGGTTTATCCCTTGGGTCCACGTGGCAGGGGTGAGGTGGTGCTCACTCCTCACTTCTGCCACATGGACCCAAGGGATAAACCATCAATCCTGCTCAATGGTCAACTTTCCTCGCAGGGTCACACCCATTAGGACAGTGGGAGGGTTAAGCAGTGTTAAACACAATATTTAGTTGATGTTTAGCTAAATGTTCACCAAAGCTATAAGGAAGTGAGAGTATAATGTGCTTGCCATTTTTACTTTGTTTTAAGCTGTGATTTTACGTTTAACAGTCAAAGAATTTCATGTTGAACCCTCCTTTTTGTAAAAAAATATAGCTCACTTGAGTAAAATGATAGACATTAATAAAACAGCTCAACCTTGCAAGCAATGCATTGTGGAACTTTGTTTGGGGGGCCCTTGGGATCCTGCCTCAGTGGAAAAGATTAGTTATTGTCGTGCCTTAATATGAACATGGATTGAGGAAGTACTGGACCTGCAGGGTCATGCTTTGCCTTCAGTAATAAGGGCTTCGCTTTGCTCTGACAAAGTAGCAAAGTCAAAAGGAAAAGTTCAACATCAGGGGAATCTTGTTCTGTTATCCAGCATGTTTTAGCGTCCCTGCTCTAATGTGCCAGTGAGTGTCAGCTGGTGGAATTTGGGTCAAAATTAGATTTTTGTCCACTCAGTTTGTCTCAAAAGGTGTGCAGTGCAAAACATTGAGGTTATATTTGTAACGTTTTGTTAAGGGGTCATCTCAGAGACACAGTGTGGTGTACTGCAGCTCTTTGTTTCAGGTTGGTTCATTTCAAATTCACACTTGATACAGATTTGTATTTTGACCAACTTCATTTCATTTAGGTCATTTCCAGTATTTTTCATACTTGGATGATTTTTTTTTTGGTTCTAAAGTATTGTCCTTACAATTCTTGTTGGACCTTAAAATGTCTACTTTTGTCATAGGCGGGGCTAAGTCATCTCATTATCGATGTCCCTTTAATGAAGCATTTCATCAGGTTTTTATAATTAAGTGTGTGTTGTGTGTAAACAAAATTTGAAGTGGGATTTGTGTTGTAAGGCTTAAAATAGATTTTTTGAGATGCTTACCAACTCTGTACAGTAAGTAGAAATCGGTGTCCCTATAGTTCATCAAAAAACTTGTTTGGGAAAAATGTCCCTGCAGTTCACCCTTACCTGTATAGGTGTGTGTGTGTGTGTGTGTGTGTGTGTGTGTGTGTGTGTGTGTGTGTGTGTGTCATGTAGCCTTGGGGTACAGTCATCCTGGGAGTGAGACAAACCTTTATATTCATTAGAAAATCTCCACATCTTTTGACCAAAGACTTTAAAGAGAATGTGTGCTTTGTGTGTGTGTGCACACTTCTACATCCACAAACACGATGTGGATGCGCATAGTCATGCATGTGTGTGTTTGTGATGCATGTGTGTGTTTGTGATGCATGTGTGTGTTTGTGATGCATGTGTGTGTTTGTGATGCATGTGTGTGTTTGTGATGCATGTGTGTGTGCGTGTTTGTGATTCATGTGTGTGTTTGTGATGCATGTGTGTGTTTGTGATGCATGTGTGTGTTTGTGATGCATGTGTGTGTTTGTGATGCATGTGTGTGTTTGTGATGCATGTGTGCGTTTGTGATGCATGTGTGTGTTTGTGATGCATGTGTGTGTTTGTGATGCATGTGTGCGTTTGTGATGCATGTGTGTGTTTGTGATGCATGTGTGCGTTTGTGATGCATGTGTGCGTTTGTGATGCATGTGTGCGTTTGTGATGCATGTGTGCGTTTGTGATGCATGTGTGTGTTTGTGATGCATGTGTGTGTTTGTGATGCATGTGTGTGTCCTTTCAGACTGTGCATACTTGGGGTGGGGGTGAGGCTGTATCCATAGCAACAACCAAACACCACCCCTACTGAGTCCTAAAAGACAAAGCCTCTATACCCCCCCCCCCCCCCCCCCCACACACACACACACACACACACACACTACACGGCCAGCTGAGGCAGATCAATACTTCTCCCCATCTACGGAACAAAATTCAGAGAATGACTTCTTCGTGCCCACACCGCCTCCATGCTTCAGAATTTATTTATTTATTTACCACCAAATCAGCAAAGTGTTGATTTGTTTTTATCCAGGATTATTTCTGTCCTGAATCTGGGTGTTTTCTTTCATTTCTCTGAGCTTGAAGGGCCTTTTAGGACCATTTTGCTCCATCTGAGTCTCTCCTCCTCACTCACCTTTTGCTGCTTCCCTCTTCCTCTGAGTGAAAGACGGGGTCAGCTCACATTCAGCCATCCTCCCTGTTTGTCTCACCACTTGGCTGACCACAGCTCTGGCCAGTGCCTCTCTGGTTCACTTGGATGTCTGGGCCCCATCTCTGGGACTGGAAGGCATGATTGGTCTTGGCCCGCTGACCTTGTTCACTGCCAAGAGGCTGATTTGGGGTGGGGGTAAGGGTCCTTGAACCCTTGACTGGTGTTAGTGGGTGCAATGCAGAAGGGCTCCCTATAGCACCTCTTTTCTGCAGCAGCTGAAAAACCACAGAAGAGATGTTTCTGACGCATGCAGAAGACCAATCACACCTCGCCCAAACTCTGCAATCAGACACAAACAAAAAGGATTTCCAGTTCCTGTACATCGCCTTTTGGCCGATTTCAGTTTCCTGTTTCTTAAGAAGAAATGGGAGGGGACTATGCGAGGTGTCCACAGGAGGTGTTTATGGGAGGTGTCCATAGGAGGTGTTTATGGGAGGTGTCCATAGGAGGTGTTTATGGGAGGTGTCCATAGGAGGTGTCCATAGAAGGTGTTTATGGGAGGTGTCCATAGGAGGTTTCCATAGGAGGTGTTTATGGGAGGTGTCCATAGGAGGTGTTTATGGGAGGGGTCCATAGGAGGTGTTTATGGGAGGTGTCCATAGGAGGTGTCCATGCGAGGTGTCCATAGAAGGTGTTTATGGGAGGTGTCCATAGGAGGTGTCCATAGGAGGTGTTTATGGGAGGTGTCCATAGGAGGAGTCCATGCGAGGTGTCCATAGAAGGTGTTTATGGGAGGTGTCCATAGGAGGTGTCCGTAGGAGGTGTTTATGGGAGGTGTCCATAGGAGGTTTCCATAGGAGGTGTTTATGGGAGGGGTCCATAGGAGGTGTCCATGCGAGGCGTCCACAGGAGGTGTTTATGGGAGGTGTCCATAGGAGGTGTCCATAGAAGGTGTTTATGGGAGGTGTCCATAGGAGGTGTCCATAGGAGGTGTTTATGGGAGGTGTCCATAGGAGGTGTCCATGCGAGGTGTCCATAGAAGGTGTTTATGGGAGGTGTCCATAGGAGGTGTCCATGGGAGGTGTCCATTGGAGGTGTTAATGGGAGGTGTCCATAGGAGATGTGAAGTTGGAGAAGGCCATAAAGCTGCCTCAGCATTTCCAGAGGTCAACAGATTGTCTAGTGTCCAGCAGCTTCTTCTACTAGGAATATTCTCCTCTTATCTCTCTGAGCGCTCCTTTTCTGTGGCCGTCTCCAAGTTTAGGTCCTCCACCACCTCTCTTACCCATGGTGTCCCACAAGGTTCTGTGCTGGGGCCTCTGCTCTTCCTCCTCTATCTGCTTCCTCTTCAGCACATCCTGAGCTCCTTCAAAGGAATCTCCTACCATCTTTATGCAGATGACATCCAACTGTACATCTCCTTTAAGCCCCATGAGATGTCTAAGCTGCAGCTGTTACACACCTGCTTAGACTCTATCAAAACCTGGATGGTGGGAGCTTTCTTCAGCTGAATGATGATAAGACTGAGATCCTCATCTGTGCCCCAGACAAGCTGGTTCCCAAAGTCAGAGACTCTCTTGGTCAGCTTGCTTCCCACACCAAACCCTCTGTCAGGAATCTTGGCATGACCTTTGACCCAGCTCTCACCCTGGATTCTCATGTCATTTCTCTTGTTGGCTCTTCCTTCTTCCATCTCAGGAACGTTGCTAAGCTGAGTCCCATTCTGTCCCGCTCTGAACTTGAGACAGTTCTCCACACCTTCATCTCCTCACGCTTAGACTACTGTAACTCTCTTTTCACGTGTCTGAGCAGAACCTCCCTGAACCGTCTACAGGTGGTTCAGAACTCCTGTGCTCGGCTTCTGACCAAGTCCTCCAAACACACCCACATGACCCCACTTCTCCTCCAGCTTCACTGGCTGCCAGTCAACTTCAGGGTTCATTTCAAGATCCTGGTTCTGGTCTATAGGGCCTTACACGGACAAGCACCATCTTACATTGGTGATCTTCTCAGTCCCTACACCCCCAGCAGGTCCCTGAGGTCCAGTGATCAAAGCCTACTGGTTGTGCAGCACCAGGCTAAAGGTCAAAGGTGACAGATCATCTGCTACTGTGGCCCCCAGACTCTGGACCTCTCTCCCCCTGAGCCTGAGACCAGTGGACTCAGTGGTCTCCTTTAAAAAGCAGCTGAAGACTCACTTGTTCAAGCTGGCTTTTGTATGACCTTCTTCACCTCTCTCTCTTTATTCTGCTCTCCCCACCTATTCCACCTTCCTCAGGATCCACTGATTTCCCTCTTTCCTGTTCACTCTCTCTCTTTACATTTTTAATCACAGTTGACTATTTTTGCTCATTTTAATATATTTTTAATCATTTTCTAAATGCTTTTTTATATTTTTACAATTTTTGTTTTTGTGAAGCGCCTCGTGACTGTGGACCCACCACCCGCAGGAGGAACATGAAGGGTCCGGTGCAATGCGAATCGGGTGGCAGACCAAGGCGGGAGCCTTGGCCGTCCAATCCCCGGACAAGAAAACTAGTTTTTGGGACATGGAACGTCACCTCGCTGGCGGGGAAGGAGCCGGAGCTTGTGGCAGAGGTTGAGCGGTACCGGCTAGATATAGTCGGACTCACCTCGACACATTGCATTGGCTCTGGAACCCGAGACCTGGAGAGGGGTTGGACACTCTACTTTGCTGGAGTTGCTCCGGGTGAGAGGCGGAGGGCTGGGGTTGGCTTTTTGTTAGCCCCGAGACTCTCTGCCTGTGTGTTGGGGTTTACCCCGGAGGACAAGAGGGTAGCTTCCTTGCGCCTTCGGGTCGGGGAACGGGTCCTGACTGTTGTTTGTGCTTATGGGCCAAATATTAGTTCAGAGTACCCACCCTTTTTGGAGTCCCTGGGACGAGTGCTAGATAGTGCTCCATCAGGGGACTCCATTGTCCTGCTGGGGGACTTCATTGCTCACGTGGGCAATGACAGCTTGACCTGGAGGGGTGTGATTGGGAGGAACGGCCCACCTAATCTGAACTCGAGCGGTGTTTTGTTATTGGACTTCTGTGCAAGCCGCAGTTTGGCCATAACGAACACCATGTTCGCACATAAGGATGCCCACCGGTACA